ACATACATCTGTGGAAACACAGAGAGTTGTAGAGGGCTCAAGACGCTGTTGCAGTACTCTTCTATAGGGACTCTTTCCAGAAGTTTCCTTTCATCCTCAGATGGTCAGTGGAAACTAACAGGAGCTTTCTCCCCACAGAACACTTATGTGCTGCTCATCAGAATGACTCTGCCTATGACAGCCCAGATCCTGAAGCTGAAGGCAGCCCCTGTACCTCTCAGATGGAGCAGCCCAAAGGGAGGAGCACTAGTGTGAGCAGAAGATATCCAACACACATCTCTGCCCCTTCACTGACTAATTTCAGAAATGACATCAGCACGATGGACAGGAGGTACTCAGAGCCAGACCTGTCCTTCCAGAACCGCCTTGAAGGCAGGATAAGGAAACAGAAGCTAAACAAAAGTGAGGACAATTTTCCAGTTCAGCAGAAACAGCTAGGGTTGGAGGCACTGGAGAAACGGCTTGCAATCTTACCTTCAGAATTATCAACAGACTCTCTACCCAAAACATCTTCCAGTTGCTCCCTGGAGAGCTCTGACGGCTCGGTCTTCACCAGCTCCCCAGTAGTTTCACCCTCTAGTCCCAAAAAAACCTTTTTAAATAGGCCCCAGTCCTTTTCCACCAAGGCCACCGAAGACTGCAGTACACCTAGCAGAGAGATCAAAAAGCATTCCATGTCATTCTCTTTTGCAAACCGCAGGAAAACACTAATAAAAACCCAGAGTTGGGGGCCTGGAAAAAACATGGGTTTTCAGAGAGACAATTTCACAAAGAAAGATCAGTTCTCCTGCCGAGTTGTCCAGGAGAACAGCCCTGATGATGACAAACCGTTGCCTATGGAGTATGAGCAAAGGTCCCGTTTCAGATCCGCTGATGAAGTGTTCAGAGAGGTAGACCAGAGGAATCCTGGAAGACCACCTTCTTATGAAGAGGCTACTAAAAACTGCCTGGCCACTAAAGTTCCCTCCCACAATCTCACTGTTCAAACTATGAGACGGTTAAAGGTGTCAAACCAGGACACTTCGCTGCCTCATCCATGCAGCAGCTGTGCACCGGACGCAGTATACACGGCTCTAAAGGATCTACCCAGTGGCAGAGTTTCTGCAGCAAAGGATTCTGATGTGGAAACTGAAATGCTCAGCGTCACTGTGGGAATAAACTCCCGTGTGAGTTTACCTGTGACCCCAGGAGTTTACCGATTGAGAGCCATGTCTGAGTCCTGTCAAAAGAACAAACTTGAGTATGTGGCTCGGAGGTGCAGCCAGCCAGTTTTTGACGTAGACCAGATCCAGTATGCTAAGGAATCCTATGTTTAAAAAGCCTCTCCCTCCTCTTTGCACTGTACAGAGTAAATATTGTAAAAATAGACATCTTGCTCATCCTTTGTAAGATTTTACTTTCAAGAGACCAAGAATAAGCTAGCTCTGCATTAACTTTTTTTTCCCTTGAGGCTTTCCCGAAGTGTCTGTTGGCTTGACACGTCACATTCTTTCACCACAAGAGGTGGTGGTGGGGAAGACCTCTGTATTATGATGTAAAAATGTAAGTGAATATGCTGTACATAACCTGTTGTGTGGGAAAACTAGTTAGTAATTGACAAATAGTGCTGTATTTGTATCCCCCAAAGGACAATTAAAAGGTTGGCAGGTCCAAAACCTGTCCCTTCCTTTTCTTTTCTGTACGGTCACAGACTCCATGCCATTTGTCACATGTGCGTGACAGGCTGATGCAATGCTTTGCTGATTTTCTGTGTTAAGAAGTGGACTGGCAGTTAGTTCCCCTAACTGGGGAAGAGCTGTTCTGTCATCAAGGCCACTTCAGCACTCCTCCATAAACATGGTACCTGCTGCCATTCCCTCTTCCTGCTTGCTGGTGATGAGAATGATCTGACCACTAATCAGCACTAGTGTTGTACACTGAGCCTGGGTTTAGAGACACCGAAGCCCTACAAGGTCATTACGGGAATGAATCAAGTAACCCTCGTGTGGCCTGAGGTACTTTTAGTCTTAATAAACTGGATGGGCTAAGCGGAAAGAAGGAGTATCTTTCGGTTTGCTTTTATGAAGCAAAAAAACCCCAAACAACAAAAGGAAACATTCTGGATTCCAGCTGTAAATAGTTAAAGCTGCAGCTCATTAAAGAAGAAAAAAAAAAAAAGACAGAAAAAAATACAAAAAAGAAAATACCAGGTGATGCCCTTATAATGTTGTAAAAATGACTGGAAGTGCAATGTGTTTTTACATGTAGGAACTTGTTTTGGTTAGCACTTACCTGCCCTTTTATGGTTCAGCATAGCCTTGAACCAGGAGCAGGGCGACTTTTGTTTTTCTCGTGTGTAATTTCCACTACAATAAAACATTTTTCTGCATGAATGCTAAACTGTCCATTGTCTGTCTTTAAAACATCCAGGCCCTACGTGTACTGTACCTACTTTTATACTATTCTATAGGTACGGCAGGTCTGCTTGAATGAGACGGCATATCTAAGTAGCGAGAAGGAAAGTAACTGACCAACAGTATCATTACTATTGCTGTAAGAGGCTGCAGGCTAGATTTTGGGAACAAATTCCTCTCTGTCAGGAAAACAAGTTACACTGCCCTATGACAGCAATTATCAGTGAGGTGGAGAGGGAGCTGCAAAGAGGTGATGCTGCTCCAAAAGCGGAACAGATTAGAAAATAACATACCAGCATCTCAGGTATGATGTTTTCCAGTTGTAGGTGTTCACAGGAGACAGAGGAAGGTGAAGGAGAGTACCTGGCCTGACAGAAGAAATGATGTGAGAAGGACCGTACTGGTAGGCTGCGACTACAGAAAATGCCACCTCACTTAGCCCCCCTAAGCAGTGGCACTCTGCTTCCAAGCAAGCTGAATGAGAGGGCTCTGCTGCAAGCTGCAAAAGGCGTTTGCTATTTTCTGGAATCTGCAACTCCTGAGTCACAGAATCACAGAACAGGCGAGGCTGGAGGTCGCTCCTGTCCAACTCTCCTGTTCAAGCAAGGTCAGCTAGAGCAAGTTGCCTAGGACCATGTCCAGACGGCTTTTGAATATTTCC